CTAAAGGGTGCATAAGAAAAAAATCCCACCTGTTAGATGCCTTTATGAGCAAGAGTTGAGGAAACAGCGATTGTAAAATTTCAGCTGTATTAATAAAAGCATAGTGAGGGCCAGCCAAATAGCTCAGTGGATTAAAGCACCTGCTTAGGCAGATGCAGCAGCCAGGGTTCAATCCCTGGCATGCCATGCCAGCCTTGCCCCCAGGGCGTGCTGGGATGGCGATTGAGACTGGGCATGGTGTGGGAGGCTGAACACAGGCAGATCACTATGAGTTGGATCTACGTAGCAAGACCCTAAAGACCCTGTAGACCCTTACTAAAAAATGCAACAAAAAAAAACACACACACAGCAAGCAGAACAATGGAAGTTTCAGAATCCCTGAACTCTGTAGTAATAGGATCACACTCGGTGTTGTAGGTTCAGTTCTAGGGGCATCAGGCCAAAAGATTAAGTCAGAAGATTTGGGGCCAAAAGATTAAGTCACCCTTTGGTGACCAGGGTAGTGCAAGTCTAGAAACTAGCAGGGAGGGGCAGAGTTGGCCACTGAGAAAAGTCACTCAGATGGTGTGATTCTGGTGTGCAGACACATGAGGGCTGTCATGAAGAGGTGTTGGGCTTTCTCTAAGCTGTCCCCAATGACACTGCTTAGGCAGAGCCCAGGAATGTGTGCCAGGCAGGAGTGCCACACAAGGATCTTCTGCTCTGAGCACCCGGCTGGCCCCGGGACCTGGGATGCCTCTCCCAAGCCTGGGCGAGGGCCTCTCTCCTGCCCAACGGGAAGTCACCTGCAGCTCACCCCACTGCACGTGTGCTCTGCTTGGGGAGAGCAAGGGTGTTCTGTGCGTGCTTCCCATGTGAGAACTAACAAGAGGAAGTACGATAGCCAGTAAACATTCTAAGCAATAATAATACAGCTGCGTCTGCTGCCCATGACGCCAGGAACAGAGAAAGGCGACCATTGAGAAAGAATGATGGAGTTTTATGACAGAGGAAAATGGCAATAAATGGAAAAAGAAGGAGTGAGAAGAGAGGTAGAAGAAAAGGATGAAAACTTAGAATATAAAGTGATGTAATTTTTTTCTTTTTTTCTCTTCCTTCCTAAAGCAAGGCCAGAGCAAAATGGAAGTTTCTTTTTTTCAAAATTTAGATTGCATGTTTATCAGAGTTATGTACATATGCATCTCCATACTATCTTAAAATAGTAAATAACTCTGCAAGGCCTGATGGAAACAGCACTTCCCCAACCTCTCACCCCGCGCCCCGCTTCCCCTAGTTCCTCATTTCCAACCCTGCCACGGTGGCTTTTGACACTTAATCTCTACATTTTTCTTTCCTTTGTTATTATTATTATTTTTT